TTTCATATCAATCTCAAACTTCAGACCAAAAACAAAACAAAACAAAATAAAACAAATAGCAATAACAAGAGAAAAATATCCAACACTCAAAAACAAAATAAAACAAAACAGTCAGTATAAAAACAACGCATGGAAAACACACACATCCAAATTGCATCATATAATGTGACTGTGCCATATAATGTGGATTGTGGACATCAAAAGGATAAACTGGTATACATACTATACAATATAAATTCAGAAACAAATTAATCAACAAAAAGCTAAAGTTGACAAATACAATTATAAGTGAAAATAAAAGAAACATAAAAATGACATTACCACAACCAAATTAAGGAAAAAGTATTTCAATATTCCAATAGCACAAAGGGGTAATTATTTATAGTAATTTTGATCCAATAGTTTATAAATTATAATCATTAAGCCTAATAAGTTTAACTTTAGAACTTTAATTGTATTTAATATTAGGAATTAACCTCAAATCCTAGAAAAGTAAAAAATCCCTATTCCAGATAATCTAGACTTCCAGGTATATATCCAATATTCCTCGATTTCCTTCGTAAGAGGTGTTTTACTGCTTTAATCATTTTAGACAATAAGCAACAAAATGAGATTCAACGTGTAGAGATAACAACTAACATGATATTAGAGAATTAGACCCAGACATTGCTTAGGTGGTTAGATGAGGACCGCCAAATTGGAGATGCGAAGTTGGAAGGATTTCATTATTAGATGGTAAATTTGAAGGATTACTAAGGGAGGAGGTACATACCTAAAATCGACCGTGAGATGCGCAGCAGACCGAAGAAACCGGCGGATGAGAGAGCAGGATCGATGGAGAAACTAACCGGTGATGGCCGGAGAATCGTGCGCGCAGATAGGGTTAAATGGGAGAGCTAGCTTAGGCCATCGATGATTCTGGAAGCAAGTCTGGAACGGGTGAGCTGATGTATGGCGCTAAGTGTATGGATATGTTGTACGTATAGTAGCTGGGCCGAGCGGCCCATCGATGCCGGCCTGGCCTTATTCCTTCCGTAAAAAATGTTTAGTGTCACTATTTGAGCCTGATGTAATTGTGTTAGTAAATAGTGACACTTTTGTGTTATTATGACTTTTATATCAGAAAGCGTCACTACAAAAGCGTCACTGTAAGCCAGTTTTCTACTAGTGGGTGCATATTGTAGTGGCGAGCCGCAAGCACTCCAACCAGGCTTTAATTTTAGATGAATGGTCTTCCGTCTACTCCTTCATCGACACAACACCACAGGCTTTAGGTAATAGGGTCTTTCCATTTTTCAATAACTTTAGCACGGAGTTACTCCGTAGTCACGAAGTTTTTTTTTAACGGTGGAAATAGGGAGTATTATTTCATTATTATCATTTACTTTTAGTTCTTTAGAATTTTCTTAAAAGAAATTTTGTTGCCATCTATGGTAGTAGGGCGTAGGGATATGTTCTAAATATGTTGATGTGTTAGAATAATTGAAATTGTAATTTGTTATTTTGAATTATTTAAATATAACAAAAATTAAATACTTATACTCTTTTATGTGTGATTTAAGAGCATGTTTGGTAATACTGAAATCAGATGTATTAGTTGATTCTGGTGAAATTTTTGAAGTTCTGCCTGAAGTGATTGAATAAGCTAATTCTGATGATTTAAGAAAAAATTATACTCCATATTTAAAATATCTTTTACAAAAAAAGTAAAGAAAAAATCATATGAAAGATAGCCAAAATGATCTTCTACCGTAACTTCAGTCAATACCGTCATAAAAACAACTTCAACCTTATTTTTTCTTATTATTACTAAATTCAGGCGCGAAATCAAGAGTTACGTGTTTGGTGAAAAAGTTGACTGATAAGCCGCCTGATAAGTCAAAAAACAAGGTCACCAAACGGGCTCTAAATCTATATTTATGCACCTTTAGTTTATATTTAGTACCCTGTATTACTTTGAATGAAATTATAGATTTTGAATTGATTCTCGATTACAAAGATAAAGAACAATTTAAGAAAGGATTTGGCCATGAAATCACTTCTTGGCTCTACAGATTGGTATGTAAACACAAAACTTTCTCCCTCAAATATTATTGAGAACGAGGGTACATTAATAGCATACGCATTTCATATGTAATTTACTTCTATTTAATCGCTAATATTTTTTATGTCATTGTGTTAAATAAAACATATTTCAACAAAATCTGTACATGGCTGTCTAGGGCCTCAAAATTGCTCTAGCCGGCCCTGTCATCACCCAAGTGGTCGCCGGCGGGTCTTCTTCTTCCTTTCTTCTTCTTCGTCTCATCTTCTTCCTCTCCTCCACCTCCAATCCTTCTTCTTTCTTCTTGCTATTCCTTTTCTTCTTTCTCTTCGTTCTTCTTCCTCCCTTTATCCATCTGTACGGCCTGCTATGATGGTTCGTAGCTTTTTGTTCTAATTTTTTTGTTTTATGTTTCAATTTCATTGTTATTATTTTTCCTTTTCTAGTTTTTTACTCCGTATTTCATTATTGTGAATTCATATGATGAATTCAACTTTCTGGATCGATTTTTTTGGCATAGTATTCCTTTTGAATATTTTTCAATGAGGATAGATTGATGATTCGAACAATGTCACAATACTAGTAAATCAATGATTCAATATTAAAAACATTGTCTTTATTTTGCTAAATTATAATGTCAAAACTTATTATATTGTTTATTACAGTGTTATTAATTTACAATGACACAACTTGTCATTGGCAATACCATCTTTACGGTTATAATACGTATTATTTTAATAAAAGTTGAAATTATTTTAACATTGTGATAATTGTTTGGTAGCATCAAAATTTTTATTTACAATGAGTTAATATTGTGATATTGACACACCATGTAATAACATTATATTGTGACATTGTTTTCATTGATGATATTGTGATATTGTGATATTGTTAGAAGTGTACAAAAATATTGTAACATTGTGACATTAACGTTGTGTCACTGCCAAGAAGAAACATTATATTGTTGTTTTCTTTGACAATGTTGTGATATTTGTGACATTGTATAATAACATTGTGACAATGTCGTGTGACATTGTGATTATAACATCGTGACATTGTTAATATTTGACATTATTTTCATTGATGACATTGTCATGTGACATTGGAACATTATGTAATGACAATATGACATTATAATCCGACATTGAGATATTAACGTTGTGTCATTGTCAAGAACTGACATCAGAATAATGAGTAATAATGGCAATGTCAAATGCCAATGTCAATGATTATTGCGACAATGACAATGTCAATACTAAAAAAATGACATTGTATAATAACAATGTCAATTCAATGTCGATGACAATAACAATTATGGCAATGTCATTACCAAATTAAATTTATCAGTATCATAATCTTAGAATCATATCAATATGGCAAAAAATGTCTAAATTAAATATTAAAAGTGGTATCAATGTTAGAGCAATTTTAATTTTGTAAAAACATGTTAAATGTCACAATGAGAAACAATAAATTTTGTATAAAGATGTCATATTATCCAAAAAATATCACAATGTCAAAAAGTGTCACTAAAAAATCATAAATTTTGATTGCATTTTACATATTAGTACCTCCGTCCCCCTAAGTTTGGGACAAAGGGGGTGTGGTGTGATTTTTAAGAAAAAATGGAATTGTGTGGTTGGTGTTGAATTGGTAAAGTGTGAATAAAGTAAGAATGATTTCTAACCACTCAAATATTACCAAATATGGTATGAGACAAACTTAATGAGACAAACGAAAAAGGTAAAACGGGACAAATTAAAGTTAGGGGGGCGGAGGGAGTATGGCACAATGTCAAAAACTCAAAATATCACATAACAATGTCAAAGTATCGCAATGTCATCAACGAAGATAATGTCACAATGTTAACATCACAATATTGCACCACAATATCACAATGTTAATATCGCGATATCACATGACAACATCACCATTGTGCCATATCACAATGTCACAATATCACATGATGTGTAATTACATAAGGTCGTATCACAATGTCAAAATATTACATGACAATGTCACAATATCTCGATCAATGTCATCAACAAAAACAATACCACAATGTCACAATGTTAATGCTGCAGTGTCACGGTAAATACACAATGTCACATGACAATGTAGTCATGGACCCGGGCCGGGCCGGTTCCGGTTCCGGGCCGGGCCCGGCCGGGCTTTTTTTTTGGGAAGGAAGGCCCGGGACCGGCCCGGGTAGCCACCGGGTCCGGGCCGGGCCGGGCCTCCGGTTCTGTCATATTTTTTTTTTTTGCTTTCCTAACCCCCCCACTCACCCCCCCACCCCCCCAAACCCCCAAACCCTTCCTAACCATCAAGCCCAACCCGGCTAACCCCAAAAAATGAAAAAAAAAAAATCAATTCGGCCCGGGCCCGGGCCCGACCTGGCCAGGCCGGTTCGCCAAATACAAGGCCCGAGCCCGGACCCGCCCCCCCACCGGGCCTAGGCCCGACCCGGACCCGGACCCGAGAACCGGGCCGGTTCTGGGCCCGCACAGTGGCGGGCCGGGCCGGTCCCGGGCCGGGCGGCCCGAACCGGGTCCATGCCTATGACAATGTAATAATATCACAATGACATCATAAAAAACAATATTACAATGTTATTAAACAAGATAATGCCAGAATATTAACTCATCAGTGTCAAATAAAAGTTTGAAAAAAGTTTGAATGTTACAAAACCATTCATTCATAGTTGAAACTTGAAAATCAATGCCATTGTCTAGGGCTCTAGAAGAACAACAATCAAATACTCCATAGCAGATAAAAATCAAAACATACAGTACATAATAATAGGAATATAACTAAAGAAATAAAATTACTTAAGCTTCAACTTACGTGAAACAAAATCTGAAACCATCAAATGTGAATCGTCAATTTGAAATTTGAATAACGAAGTACGGAGTAAGCAAAATGAAAAAAATAAATAAAAGAAAGAAATATGCAGTGTCTATTTCATGGTGCCGCACTGCTGCCGCCGATCGATCCTAGATCCACGTACAAAAGGATCGATTGTAGGTCCCCAGAGAAGAAGAAGATTGCCAATAGAAGATTTTAGGCCCGCAAATCTGTCGCACCTTCGGCCGCAGCTGCGTCGGTGTCTATTTCTTTGTGCCGCCGCCATCGGGTCTTTTCTCACATTTGTAGCGCCGCTACGTATGCCTCAGTTCCTCCATCCAGTCCGTCAGTCTTCCGGCAATGAGGTGGGTTCTTGTGTGTTTAGTTTAATCGTGACTGAAGAGAAGAGAGGGAATATAAGACCGGATGAAGAGATTGGCCAGAAAGAAATCTATTATAATCTAATAGCAAAATGTTTTGGGGTTGGGATTCCCGCTCAGAAATGTCGCTATCAAGAATTAGTGTTAAAATTGTTCATTAAGTCAGTTTTCAGTTAATAAATTGGGATTGGTTTAATAGAGGATTGCGTGTGAGTGATATGTGAGATTAAATGAATGGAGCAAGTTGGTGTACGATTGGGATTTGCCCTGGATTTCCAACCCACTCTGAGGCTATTTCATTGGCCATTTTTTGGTGTGGCACTGTTTGAACAAATCAGTGCTACTGTTTAAACAAATCAGTGCACATGTTGGATTATAATGGATGGTTGGGTGGCACTGTTTAAATTTCAAATTTTATTACATACAGTGTTCCCCCCAGGCCATAAACATTTCCTATTGGTTGAATTTGAAGTGCAAACTGTTTCATTTCATTGTCTAGGCCATGCTCGCATCTATAAATGGACCAACAAACATGTTCCAATCCCCACAGCTCATCACAACCGAATCAAACAAAAACACAAGCAAAACTCCTCAAAGTATGGTTATGTTCCGTTATAAGAGCAAGACTCCCCTGCCATTAGACTCACATCCATTCGCATATCAACCTGCAGTAGCAAAAGAAGTAATAGATTTTTGTCATGGAAGAATACAAATGCTGCATGCAAGATGAAAATCAGAGCTGTTTAAGGTGATGAAGTAGTCTCTTAAACTCATAATACTATGCCTTGAATCTCTAGACATTTTTTCCCAAAATTAAGAGTTTTTTAACTTTTGAATATGGTATGTTTATTTACTCTAACATTCATCAACTTATTCATTCATCATTACGTTTTACCCATGTTTTAACCACTGTTTATATTGAAACAACGGACTAAAATTCATGCAGATGCGTATCACAAAAAAAAATGTTAGAGGTTGGTTATGTATGTGATGATAAAGCTGTTTTTCTTTGGTGCCGTTTGCTGCTTTACAGAAACGGATTTCATTGATGATAAAGCTGCATTCATTGATTTGTTATTACAGAAGTGAATGTTTGTAGGTTTGTTTAATTCAGTATTTATAAAAATTGTAATTTGAATTGTTAATTAATTATTGGCAAATGCAGATATCATTGGACAACTGGATAAAGACCCTAAGACAATCCTCAAAAATGAGGTCTAAGAAGTTGATTGAGCTCATCGTGGGGAGACACGGGATTAGTAAATTTTATCATCAAAGTGTACACTTGCTAGCAAGTTTAGATGTATCTCTAATTCATAAATCTGTGTTCTACAAGTGGAATGTCATTGCCTGCACGCTTTATAATTGTAATATGGATAAAAAAGGCGGGTTCAAGAAACATACCTGGGATCTTTGATGCCACTGCAGTCCTATTTATATCATAATCTAAACAGATTGAATTATTTATTATTACATTTCAAACTTGCATATAAATTGAGATACATCAAATGAATTTTACATGACAAGGAAGAACAAAACATGTCACCCATAGAAAATAAACCCTGGACCTGCATTCCAAATTAAAGTTCATTATTACCATAATGAAACACTTAGCAATTAAAACTTTTTAAATTCAATGTTTAAATGCTGTATTTGGCATATATTTTTTATTTGGCAGATATTATTACAGAGGTGTGGTGTCTTTGAAAGCCAATTAGAAAATTATTGGGAAATAACAAGATAAGGAAAAGGATCAATGAAATGGTTATTTGAAGATTTTGATAAAATATGTATGTATTTATCTGAGTCTGTTATCTATTAATGCATCATCAGTTGTAGAAAAAGAACTTCCACAGTTTTTGTTATTGTGGTTGATAAACAGATTGCCTTTGGGGTTAAGTGCATATTGTGCAACAAAAAAAAGTTTTAAAAGAAGTGTTTATTATTTGAAAAGATGAATACTTTAGTGGACTGAGGTGTGTGATTATTGTATATTAATATACCAAATGTCTTTTGTTTCTTATCTTTAGTGTGTATAAAAAAATAGTTCAGGGATTATGTTAGAGAGGTGTTTTTTTTAATATTAAAGAGGAATAAGAATATACCATTAGCATTGTGGTTGGCATGTGCGTCCTACAATGTACTTTGGCCCTTTTGCTAGCCTAATCGGATGAGCCGTTTGCTATATACAGTCCCCCCGGTTCCTCCCAGGTTAATTTGAAAGTAATGAACCAAAAAAGTAACATCCCGGGGCCTAAGCTAGCCTAATCACATTTTGACAAAAAAGTAATGAACCATGTTCAGAGACCTGGCAAATCTGTAGGTTGTGAATGTTGTGGTTTGTGTAGAATTCGATTAGGTTTTTGGTTCATGAACAACGGTTATTTGATGAAATGGATCCGTGGTGTAAAATTGATTGCCGGAATCGGAACCGTACCTGACTGCCTGAGGTAGACTGTGATTAGAATCAACCGCAACCGAATCACACACAGCATCAACTTCTGCTATCGTCCAAGAGAAGCCAACACCGTTGCACATTTCTTGGCTAAAGCCGGTCTCCAGGCCTCCGGGTCTCTCTCTTTCACACTCGACTCACTCCCAACCATGGCAAAAATAGCGTATCTAAACGATCTTTACGGAGTTTATCTCTTCAAAGACCCGGCTGAAGATGCGGCTGGAACATAGAACTGATAGAAGAGCCCCTCTCTCTCAAGAATATTCTGGAGAATGGGGTTTTTACGTATTATGTTGTGCCACACTCTAATGATTTAATTCCTTTGGACAGTTATTGTTCCTCTTCCATTTGGGCCTATACAACTTGGACCCGTTTTGTTACTTCGTTTATATATGCAAAAAAACAAAACAAAGTTACTACGTTTTTCATTGAGTGTAAATAATGGATTCATATACATGAAGTACGGAGTATTTAGTTGGACTTCTAAAAATGCCTTTTTTTAAGAGACGCATATATGATCTATTTTTAATACTAATCGACTATAATGTATAATAATTATTATTAATTTATGATTGAGGGCCATGTAATAGATTAGGCTTTATGGGTGTTTGTCAATTGGCTGTTGGTTGTTAGCTGATTGTGTTGGTCAATTGATAATAGCGGATTCTGTTGACTGTTTTCATTAGCTGTTAGTGTTAGCCGTTTATAAAATGGTGTTTGGTTAAACGGCTGTTTATAATTAGCTGATAACTTATAAAATTACTATTAAGGATATGTATTATTTTTTACTTAAAGTAATTAATATAACATCCTAAGCTAAATCGTTCGTATGATTTAAAAATGTAAAATTTATTTTACATCAACAACAATCTTTCCTAATCTTAACCGTCAACATCATGTGAGTCACTTATCCATTCACAAAAACAAATTTAAAAAGAAAGGAATTCAGAAGTTTTAATTTTTGAATGACTTTGTACGTGTTGCTTTGGCTAATCCTGTAGCACTTTTTAGAGGCCCATGCTCATAAGGTTCCATCCTACTGTTTGAACAAATTTGAGGATCTCAGTGGCACTGTTTTGATAAAGAAACTCCTATCGGTGGAAGGAGAGGTGGGTACAACCTAACGATTTGAGGAAAAATGTTTTTTAAAGTTGCGTGTTCATAGTTTAAATTTTAAACAATGTACAGACCTGTGCGTGTAAATGTGTATTTTACCCCTATTTGATTCTACTCAAATTTATGAAAATGTTTTTGATTTAGATTCAGCGCGCGAAATCAAAAGTTACGTCTTTTGCAAAAAAAGTTGGCTGATGAGATTGATAAGCCGAAAAACATGGTTACCAAACGGGCTCTAATTATGCTTAAATGATACGTAGTACTATTTCTTTTTATTTGTGGACTCAATTGACATGTTCGATATAGTAGAAGAGTCTGTTTGAACATTTCCGCATAAATTTATATTCATGTATAGTTTAAAAATGACATAACACATCTTCACATATTTGCACCTCTCTGTTTTGACGGTTTATTCGTCTAAAATGCACTTTGTACATATGTAAAGTTAGTCTATTACTTACTCATTATAAATAATTTAACTTTAATTAATGTATATAAACCTCTTGAAATGGAAAAATCATTTGTCAAAATCATTTGTGCATCGTTTCTGCAAAGCATTTTACTAGAAGGAAGGATTTTAAGAGGGGTTAGTTCGAGAGAGAAGGTATTTGAAATAGGGAAAATGGAAACTAATAATCCAACCTTTTAGCGGTTTTCTTACAATAATCCAACCTTTTGGTTATTCATGAATAATCTAACCTTTGCACCTCATCTTCATTCACTGGTCCCTGATTGGTTGATGACCTGCTATTCGAAGCTATTTTCTTATCTTTGCAAAATATTATCTTTGTGAAAGAGGAAATTTATGGTATAATGATTTGCAAAGATAAGAAAATAACTTGGAATAGCAGGTCATCAACCGGTCAAGGACCAGTGAATGAAGATGTGGTGCAAAGGTTGGATTATTCATGAATAATCAAAATGTGGGATTATTAAAAGAAGACCGCTAAAAGGTTGGATTATTAGTTTTCATTTTCCCTTTGAAATATTTGAAGGACATATTTTTGTCAATTACTCCTACAAAATTTCAAATTGCATTTTAAAATAAGTAGAATTTGTTAGATTTGTACACTCATTATTGCAATCGACCTCAATCAGTAATACATTTCACATAATCTCATTATTGGTCGGGTTTCTGGATGATGGCGTTAATGGTGGAACCTATCCGATCGTTGTTGGTTTTTCGATGATATAAAAAATTATTCATAAGATATCGGTTATGAAAATCAGAGATTGAAAAAATCCTTTACATTTAGTTTGAGTCAGCTTTCGTTAGTTCGGGTTCGGTCTAGGATCGAATAGAGCCGGTTAAGGACCGATTGAAGAATTATCATATTTGAGTGTTGTTTAATAATCCCATAACACACTTTCACATATTTGCACACCCCCCTGATTTGCCAATTTACCCGGGCAATTCGTATAAAAAATGCAATTCGTATAAATGAATAGTCACCATATTACTTGATATGTTTATACTTAGACTTATTTCAGTCTCAAACCAAACCAAACTTAAACAAACTAGACCAGACCACACTTGGATATTTGAAATAGTAGAAGCACTTATTTGAACATTTTCTCACAAATTTAGATTCAAGTATAATTCTAGAATGACATAACACACTTTCACATATTTAACTCTCTTATTTTACCTGTTTAGAGAGACAATTAGTGTAAAAAAAATGCAATTCGTGTAAATATAGTCACCTTATTACTTAGTCATCATACACAATTTACCTTCAACTAATTTATATAAATCTTTGATTTTCGGCAGGTGTTGTCGGTGATACCTCATGGGAGTAGACATGATGTAGTCAATGTGATGATTAATTTATCATATTTGTGGTCGGAATGCACACTCCTTCGTTTGATAAAAAAATATGCACCTGCAGAACACGACTAATTCATCGTATTCTTACGATTTGAAGGTCTTTTCAGATTGGATTGCCAACATTGGTGACAGTGTTGCGGGTAAAAGTAATGTAAGTCATGTTCGTATTATTATTCCTGAAGATCCATTGATACGCAGATGGAGATCCTATAGCTGCGAATGTTGAAAGCATGTTTCCGGAATATGTTGAATCTACAGGTGATATGAGTTGTCTGCGCGACCGTGCGATCTTGGCACCGACACTGTCTGTGGTTGAAGCTGTTAATGAGACTATATGACGGCTCTTAATGTTGGTGAAGTTTCAAGAACATATCTTAGTTCCGACAGTGTTTCTAAGGTAGATTCTACGACCGATCTAATGGCAGTACTGCACACAACTAAGTTCTTGAATAGTACTCCCTTCGTCCCATTTTATGTGTTCTACTTTCCTTTTTGGGTTATCCCAAAATAAGTGTCTCCTTTTCTTTTTTTGAAAAAAAATATGTGGCCTACACTATTTCACTTTATTATACTCAAACCTCATCCACAATTTTTACTATTTCAACCACTTCAGTAATAATCGTGTCAAGTCAAACTAAGACACCTAAAATGGGACGGAGGTAGTATAAAATTGTCTGGTGTACTGAATAATGAGTTAATGTTAAAGGTAGGGACCCCTGTGATGCTTTTGCGAAATATCGATCATTCAATGGGGTTGTGTAACGGGACACGTCTTATTCTAACGAGGTTGGTGATCGTGTTTTGGAGGGGAAAACTTTAACTGGTGTGAATGTTGGACAAAAAGTGTTAATGCCTACATTGTCCTTGACGCCATCCGATGCCAGCTTGCCTTTCAAATTTCATAGGTGACAATATCCTGTTATGACTTCATATGTTATGAGTATAAATAATAATCAAGGTCAATCTTGGTCCCGTGTTGGGTTGTTGTTGAAAAAACCGGTATTTACCCACAAACAGTTGTATGTTGCAGTATCAAGGGTTACCAATCGTTGTGGTTTGAAAATTCTAATTGTTGATAAAGATGATGAAACCACTGACAAGACTCAAAATGTTGTATTCAAAGAAGTGTTCAACAATGTTTAGGTTTACATTAAATGCATATTTACAATATTATGGTTTCAACGTATTTGTTGGATGTTTTTTATCTTTTAAGTAATGCTTAGTACTCTCATTTTGACCATAATATTATAAGTGTGTAACGTTTAATGCTATGATGTATATCCGTATTACATGAAAATATATGATGTTATCACTTAATAGTGTGATTTGAATCACTAAGCACACATAAATTTGAAAGAAAAATTCTCAAACCGTGCATCGCACGGGTGACTTACTAGTAGAAGGCTAAAGAGGTATGGACACATCAAATATGTCCTATTTACGGTTTAGAAAGAACTAGGTCCTATTTGATAGAATATAATGTTTATATTATTTTATTTATTATAATATTCCTTGTATTTATCTCTTGTACGTAGCTCGTTTGTATTAGTATTAGATTAGTATCATCTGTAAGTTTAATCTTATCACATGTAACTAACGTGAGAGTTTTATGCTAACACATCAATATATATAATCGGCTAATCAATATGATTAGCCAAGCCTTTTCTTCCAGTTTACTCTCTTTCATGGTATCAGATACCTCAATCTTTTGATTGATTTTTTAATCGATCCCACCCAATTCAATCATGCCGTCATCTAGTACCTCTGGCTCTCATCTCATTCCTACCCAGCAGGATCTCCCGCAGCTAATCTCCCTCAATGCTTCCACTCAGATTCCTGTAAAATTGTCCAAAGATGGCAGCAACTTTTCCTCTTGGAAATCTCAACTTACCAATCTTTTGTTCGGATACAATCTCCTTGGTTATGTTGATGGTTCTACACCTTGTCCCGCCTCCTCCGATGCCAATTATTCCTTTTGGCAGCGTCAAGATCGTCTTATCCTTCTTGCCCTCCAATCCACCGTGGCTGTCACCCTTAGTCCAATCATCAATGTATGCACTACCTCTGCCTCAGCATGGACTAAGCTTCAAACTAGCTTCGCCAATTCCTCTACAACCAGGATGCTCTCTCTTTTATCCTCCCTGATGACTACAAAAAAGGCCGGTCGCTCTGTTGCAGATTACATGGCCACTATGCGTACTTTCATTGATGATTTAGCCACCATCGACCATCCTCAGAGTACTGGACAGATTGCCTCGTATGTTCTTAATGGATTAGGCGGTGAATACAAGGACCTTGTTGGTGCCCTTCGTGTTCAATCGTCTCCTCCTACATTTGAGCAACTAAGAGATTTTCTAATTGATGCCGAGATTCTTGCCGGTGATCAAAATCTCAGCCTGGATATCCCCATCTCTGCCCAGTACACTCAATGTCGTGGTCGCCCTTCTAACCCCCGTGGCCGTGGTCGCTCCCAGGGCTCTCTCCCATCTCGCCATCATCATGGATTTGGCTCTGCCTCTGCCTCTACCGGAGACTTCAACAATCGATCCTCTTCCTCGGTTATTTGCCAATTATGTGACAAGTCAGGACACTCTGCCAAAAATTGCTATAGCCATTTTCCTCCTGCAGCCAATGCTACGTCTACCTCCGTTGCCAATCCAACAACTCCCAATTGGCTTTTGGATACTGGTGCCACCCATCATATAACTTCAGATCTCAACAATCTTCAAATTCACTCCGATTATAATGGGCCTGATTCTGTGATGTTGGGTGACGGTAAAAGTATCTCTATATCTCATACTGGTTCATCAGTTCTTTCTTCTCCCAATTCTCATTTTACACTTAATAATATTTTGTGTGCTCCTCATATTAATACCAATCTCATCTCTGTCAATCAGTTTTGTAAACAAAATCGTACATCTATTGAATTCTTACCTGATTCTTTTGTTGTCAAGGATCTACTCACGGGGGCATCCTTGGTCCAAGGCCGGAGTAAAAATAATCTCTACGTTTGGCCGAGTCTATCTCCTCAAGCCAACCTCACCACCTCTCAATTATGGCATCACCGTCTTGGTCATCCGTCTACTCACATACAACGTCAACTTTTTCCTCAGCATCAGTCTTTAGCATCATGTGATTCATGTATTCAAGCCAAAATGCATAAATTACCTTTTTCATATTCATCAATAAAATGTACCCGTCCATTTCAGTATTTGTATACGGATGTATGGGGTCCATCTCCTGTTACCTCTATTAATAATGAACGATATTATGTTCTGTTTATTGATTATTATTCAAAATACACTTGGCTATTTCCTCTCAAAAGGAAATCTGATGTTTGCTCTATCTTTGACAAATTTCGTGCATTAATCGAAAATTATTTCAGAACCAAAATCCAAACCCTCTACAGTGATGGTGGTGGTGAATTTCGTGCACTTACACACATCCTCTCTAAACATGGAATTGAGCATCTCATATCTCCTCCCTATACCCCGGAACATGTCGGCTCTGCTGAACGCAAGCACCGTCATGTTACCGAAATGGCTCTCAGTCTATTATTTCATGCCGGGGTACCCCTGAAATTCTGGTCATATGCATTTAGCCATGCAACATATCTTATTAATCGTCTCCCTACCCCTCTTTTATCATATCAAAGTCCTTTTTCCAAATTATTCGGAGATTTTCCCAATTATAAATCTCTCCGTATTTTTGGTTGTCTTTGTTATCCTTGGCTCCGACCATATAATCATCATAAATTACAGCCCCGATCTCGACCATGCATATATCTTGGTTACTCCACTAGTCATCATGCTTATTACTGTTTGGATTTAGTTACAACACGCATTTATATTTCCAGACATGTAATTTTTCATGAAAATTCTTTCCCTTACCGTTCGGCCACCACCTCGCTAACGGTTCCCACCCATATACTTCAACAATTCTTTCCACCGAATTCTCCCTCTTCACCAAGTGTCCCACCAGCTCAAACTTTATCTGACTCCACACCTAATCAATCCTTATCTCCTCATACTACTCTTCCTTATCCATCCCAACCTCCCCTCACCCATTCCAATAATTCGTCATCATCCCCTACCAACCCAATTAATTCAACTTCCTCTACCCCACCAATAAATCCTTCCCCCCCTCAAAATCCCCCTCCTGCCCCACATCTCAATCCAGTTAATCACCATCCTCCCACCCCACCAATTAATCCTACACCATACCAAGATTCCCATGCACGTACTACTACGTCCATGTTTTCCCCAAGAAAAACACGGTCCCAAAACCATATATTTAAACCCAATCCCAAATATGCATTCCATAATATTCTTCAAACCTCAGCCCCTATTGCTCCTACCACCTTTAAACAAGCCAATCTTCTCCCTGAATGGCGTACTGCCATGCAAGAAGAATTTACTGCCCTTAAAAAAAATCACACTTGGACCCTGGTTCCGTATGATTCCACACAAAATATTATTGGGTGTAAATGGGTCTTTCGGGTTAAGCAAAATCCTGATGGTTCGGTTGCTCGATATAAAGCCCGGCTCGTTGCTAAAGGTTTTCATCAACGCCCCGGTGTTGACTTTACTGATACTTTTAGTCCGGTTGTTAAACCGGCTACTGTCCGGCTTATTCTCACTCTTGCAATCACTCATCATTGGCCTATTCGGCAACTTGATGTCAATAATGCTTTTTTACAGGGTACTTTATCTGACAAAGTTTTTATGCAGCAACCTACTGGCTTTGTTGATCCGGATTCTCCTAATCATGTCTGTCTTCTACACAAAGCTCTATATGGTTTACGTCAGGCTCCACGGGCATGGTATTGTGAACTTCGGTCATATCTTCTTGCATCTGGTTTTGTTAACAGTAAAAGTGATGTCTCCCTCTTTATTCAAAACACATCCGGCAGCCTCCTTTTTCTACTAGTATATGTGGACGACATTATCATCACCGGAAATTCGGAACCTGCCCTACTCTCATTTATTACTCAACTTGCACAAAGGTTCTCTCTCAAGGACTTAGGCTCTTTATCGTATTTTCTTGGCCTGGAAGCTATAAGATCCTCTTTTGGACTCCTTCTTAGTCAACAAAAATATATAAGAGACTTACTGTGTCGTACAAAAATGCAAGACGCCAGTCCAATGCCCACACCCATCTCTCCCAACGATTCTCTCTCTTTGCATGATGGCTCTTCTTCTCATGATCCTACAGAATATCGTAGTGTTCTAGGTGTACTTCAATATCTAGCCTTCACCCGTCCCGACATCAGCTTTGTTGTTAACAAGTTAGCTCAATTTATGCATTGTCCTTCTTCTCTTCATTGGCAGGCAGTAAAAAGGGTCCTTCGTTATCTCAAAGGTACTTCTCATTATGGGCTTTACATTTCTGCTCATACTCCTCTCTCTTTGCATGCCTTTGCGGATGCTGATTGGGCTGGTGATGTTGATACCCGACACTCCACCTCTGCTTATGTTATTTTCATTGGCCGAAATCCAATTAGCTGGAGCTCCAAGAAACAAACCACCGTTGCCCGGTCTTCCACAGAGGCCGAATACCGCGCTATTGCTGGGGCCACCGCCGAACTCATTTGGATCCGTAATCTCCTTCAGGAATTAAACTTCTCTCCCCGCTCCACTCCAACAGTCTATTGTGATAATATTAGTGCTACGTATGTTTGTGCTAATCCAGTGTTTCATTCTCGTATGAAACATGTAGCTATTGATTTTCATTTTGTTCGTGAGCAAGTCGCTAATGGATCTCTTCGGGTTACTCATGTTTCAACCAATGACCAACTTGCTGATTCTCTTACTAAACCTCTTCAACGGAAACTTTTTCTCTCTCATCGGTCCAAGCTTGGCATCCTTCCTGGATCCCTTCACTTGCGGGGGCATGATAGAATATAATGTTTATATTATTTTATTTATTATAATATTCCTTGTATTTATCTCTTGTACGTAGCTCGTTTGTATTAGTATTAGATTAGTATCATCTGTAAGTTTAATCTTATCACATGTAACTAACGTGAGAGTTTTATGCTAACACATCAATATATATAATCGGCTAATCAATATGATTAGCCAAGCCTTTTCTTCCAGTTTACTCTCTTTCACTATTTAATTACATCAACTTATTTTTGGTCCTATCTACGACCATTTCTCTATCTTTTTCGGATTAAGAAACTGGGTCGGGTGGGGTGGCATTATCTTAATGAAAATCTATGACTTCACGTGGTAGTAATAATCACTTATATAAGTTGTTTAATACATCTCATCTCGGAAGGTTTTTATAGTATAGAGATATATTGGAACCATACATATATTAAGAATTTTAAAGAAATCTTTAAAGGGTATTATTGTGTAGAGATATTTGGGGACTTGGGACAATAGATAAATTAAGAATGGGAAAGTTCCCGGAATAGGACTAAAACAATTTGAAAATGCCAAAATAGGACTGTCATGTTTTTTATTCCCAAAATAGGACTAAAATAGGATTTTTTTTATTCCCAAACAGTTTTGAAGTCTGTTACTGCCAAAACATGGCAGTAATTAGTCATATTTTGGAAATAAAAATCTGACAATCCTATTTTGAAATTTTCAAACCTTTGTAGTCTTATTTGAGGTAATATTCTCATTAGCCATTTGAAAGATCAAGAGAACGTGACAATTAATATACACTAAATGGTAAACGTACAGGAATCGGATGATGACGTCAGCGGATGAAGGGCAAATTTTGAACATGCTTCTGAAGTTGATCAATGCTAAGAACACCATGGAAATTGGCGTTTTCACCGGCTACGTACTCACTCCTCGCCACTGCTCTCGCCATTCCTCATGATGGAAAAGGTAGGTAACCTTATGATCAAATACAAGGACTATTGATGTTCCAGATTTAGGGTGTTTTCTTTTGGATTGAAATTTGCTGATCTGATCTGGTCTGGTCTGGAATGATCTGGTCTAATCTGGTCTGGTCTGGTCTGGTAAACGTCTGATTTTGTGTATTTTATAACTACAGAAGTCTGGTCTGGTCTGATCTGGTTTGGTATGATCTAATCTGGTCTGATCTGAGACTGAAATCAGTCCAAGAGAAAACATCCTTAAAGTTATAAGTCTCATCCTAAAATGATCAAAGGATGTGTTCATTTTCTTGTATGAATAAATAAAATGATGCCATAAAAAACCCTTCCATGAAAAACAATGGGACTATTTAGTATTTACATCGATTTGTTGTTCTTGATAACAATAACTAACTAAAATGGATGAACGTAATTCTTGACAATTAAAGAAGTATCTGTCATTCTTAAAAAACACTTTTGGAATTTTTGCTTCCAAAACTGAGGAAGTAGAGCCTCATTGGTGAGGCTTTGAGCTGGGTCAAAAGCAAAGGGGGATTGTGTGGAAGTAGAGTCTCATTCGTCCGGAGCTGTTTGGGAGATTTTGAAGAGTCGTGTGTCTCCTTGGCAGGGGTTATTGGTGGTGATATTCGATAGATAAAATCTTATTTTATTGATATCTTTTTTTTCCATGTCAAGCGATTAGCGAACAGGGCGGTGCACGAATTGGCTAAAGCTGCTTATTCTTTGCCTGATTGTATTTGTTGGAGTGGGTCTCCTCCTAGTTTTATATGATGCTTTGAATGAAAGTTATATTTTTTTCAAAAAAAAAAAGAGCAACATGTTTTCAAATATGTGTTTCTATTTAGAGTTAACACTACAAAAAAAAATTACGGGACTGACACGGATTTGATACGGATTTATCGATAATTTCGTGCCAAATAACTCGTGTCAAACTGTTTTTGGCACGAATTTGACATAACTCTACCCAAATCCTTGCCAAAAATTCATGACAATCCTTATTTTTTTTTGTAGTGTAAGGAGTAATTCGTATAATCCAAAGTTAAAAATTAGAATGGGGACGAGACATTTTAATCATTTTTGACGTTTTGTATGATACAAAAAATATTTCTCACCAAAATATTCTAACTTGCTTCTTTTTAAATTGTTAATTTTTATTACTCTATAGCAGTGTTCTAAAACACGGGGAAAGGCGCCGCTAAGGCGCGTTTAGGCGCAATGCGGGACAGAAACGCCCCGCCTCCAACTAATGCGTGAACAAAGGCGGCCCATTGCAAGTCCAGCCCATTTTTTGTTCATCCTAGGTGATAGACCGAGCTGCCTACACACCAGTGTTCTGCTATCAATAGCAATCACCAATATTTATAGCAAATTAGAAGGCTGGTTTGTTTGTAAACTTCCGGTGTGGGAAAAACATGCGAAAAGGCTGAAATACAAAACAAAAGCGTAAAACTAATCAAACTAATTTCAT